GAATCTGCTCAGAGCGGCCCGGGCTTTGTGGCGGAAACATAATTAAAGTGGTGAAAGATGTAAAAGGTGAAGAATGGGGATGACATCAGGCCAATTTCACACTCGCCTCTCCAATGGCTAGGTCCTGGCCAGGACTCTTGCCTCGCAACGCAGATCAAAGCCCACTGTCACCGCAGCAGCGCAGGAGGAAAAAAAAGGCAAAGGGACACCTAACTATGCTAATCCCCAGGACGAATATATTTTAATCTTGTTAGAATACAAGTTAATGCTGTGGCTCAGTGGCTCAACTTTTTAGGGCAGAATGAAAAGTGGACAGAACTCCATTTACCTTTTCTACATGAGCAGCCTCCGTCTGCAGCCACGTCCTTAAAGTCAGAGAGTCTACAGTAAATACGGCCCCGGCTGCAGACGGCGCCACACAGCTGTGAAAAGAGCAGCAACAGTTTTCATTAAGCAAAAAAAAAAAAAAAAAAAAAAGGCTCTTGAGTAGGAGCTGTGTCAGTGACCCCCATCTGAAGCCCCACCAGGCTCCAAACATGCAAAGGAAATGAGTATTTTGTGGACTGGTGTGTCTCCTCTCACATTGAGCAGTCCGTGCTCCACAGCACCTTGGTAACCCTTGATCTCTCATGTATGGAAGTCAGGGCGCTGGGGCCTGCACGACTTGACTGGGCAACAATAGGCCGCGGATGCTTTCTGCAGAAGTCACACCCAGGCAACTCTGGTTTCACACACCGGGTCTGAGCCACCCTTAGAAAGAAAAAAAATAAAGACGCAAGGCTTAAAAAGATTCTTTTTGTTCACTTAACGAAATTCAGGAGGAAGGAAAAAAAAAAAAAAAATCCATGTGGAGAAACATCTGGCTCCTGGACTGAATTCAAACAGGAAGTGGAAGAGTCTGGAAAGTTCTTTTGTTGTGGAACAAAAACCCTGAAAAGATGAGTTTAAGGAATGAATGTTGGACCAACAGAACCGCTGGAACTCTTTGGTACCGTTTGGTCAAATTCAAATTCAAATTCTTTGGTAAATCTTTTCTTTTTCTTACATTTGACTTTTATTCACGTTAATATTAAAGTCTGCACTTTCAGAGTTTATTTAGAGAATTGGAAAATTTTGGTCATAAAAATATTTGTGAGAACAACAGGCCATTAAAATAATGTTTAATAATTTAAAACAGTTCAAACTAAAAAATAAATGTTTTTTTCCCAACAGATATCTGGAAGTTAGTTTTTTTATTTGAATCACTCAAATATATCTGACTAATTAAAGTTAAATCATTTTCATTGGTTCAGTCAACAGATTTGTGGATTTTTATTAGATATTTTTTTAAAAGCAGAACAATTTAAATGACAAAGAGGCGACGTTTTACTTCCTGTTCTTTTTAAACCGCTTTAGTTTCAATTACAACAAAAAGGCTTTCAGTGAAACCTGACCTCTGACCTTTGACATATTCAAATATCTTGTTTTAAATTTCAATCAGAAAACAGTGACATTTATTTTTTATTTCATAGAAAAAAAACCCTCAGATTTGAACATTAAATAGAAACAGAAACGGTGCGTCATCGACCAATCAGAGTGTTTCAGTCTTGAACAGCATCAGTGTCTCAGACGCAGCCAATGGTGTGTATTCGTTAAATTCATCACTAACGAACTCTTTGATCTCATTAACGGTTGGTTCTGTTGATGTTTGATTCTCTATTGGTTCTGGTCCAGCTCCACAGAACATGCTGTTGGTGTGTGTGTGTGTGTGTGTGTGTGTGTCCTGGTGCCGACCCACTCCTCAGTGACATCTGAGGTCAACAGGTACTGGTTGGTAATACTGCAGTATTTCTGTATGTATGTGTGTACAGTGGATGAAGACGTACTCTGTTTCCGGCCCCTCTCTCTCTCTCTCTCTCTCTCTCTCTCCCTGACTCTCCCCCTCTCTGACACACAGTTAGACAGGGTCAAGGATACATCTGACTCACCTCAGGCCCCCGACTCCCCCCGGGGACCGGCCTGTCACTCACCGCGTGGTTACGCATCATAGCTGACACAGGCACAAAGTGAGAGCTGGATCAACAGCAGCAACATCATCACCAAAAAAGCCCATCCTTAGCATGACATCTTCCTCCTGGTCCACACTGTGGAGGAGAAGGAAAAAAAACAACAGCTTCAACACACCGTGAGCCAATAATAAAATGTCATTCAGAGCTGCTCGGAAGAACTAAAAATAGACGACTTGGACGTCTGGGTTGGAGGAAGGAGAAGGAGAAAAGCTCCAGGCTGGGATGTGTGGCGATAGAGTTGTTGTCAAACGGCAGGAAGAGCCGCACGGATTTAAATAGTCGTCTGGAAGTGTTCATCTGGAGCTGCTTTATTGAAAACCAGCCTCTGTGAGGAGTCGGTCCAGTGGAACCGAGCCGGGCCGCCCCGGCCTCCTTAATTAGTGTCACGTGACATCGTGAACACAAGCGGCAGAACTGTAGGAACAGCAGCCGGAGGAGCTGGAAGTCAGCGATCAATAATCAATGACAATCAACGATCACTTTGTTCTGTCCAAAGTTGGAGGTGAGAATCCAGCAGTGATCATCTTAAACTCTGGTTTAAAAAAAACAAAACCAAGAAAATTCTTCTCCACAAATGTTTGATTTTATTCTGTGTTTTTTTTCCAGATTATTTCAGAAACATCGTCTTTAAATCTGGAAACGCCGTCACTGAAACAGCCGTTCGTGAACCAGGACTTTCTTTTCTTTTGGAGAATCTGAGACAAAGGCTTTTAACCCTTCACTGACTGGTGTTTCTATAATGACACATTTGAACAGAAATAAACAAATAAATAAAAACGTCTCCGAGTTGACGAGACGTTCAGGAAGACGTGGGACTGCGCCTCGGCTCACAGCGGTGGGCGTTGCCGTCTTCCTCCCCTCGCTCATTTGTTTTTTGCTGCATGCTGCCATTTTCTCTCTTCCTGAGTGGCGGGTGAGAGGGCGGGGCTGGCAGTTGGCGGCCATGATGGGAGGGAA